CCCTCCCTCCTCCCCCCGGACACACAAACAGTGTTACATACAACTAAGTTCTATGTGTATGTCGTGTGTATATATGCATGTACATGTGAATTTAATTTATTTACACTTATAGTGTAGAGAATTCAATATTATGAATGTATTTTAACGTGTTATAACCGTTGATAATTTGCCTTATATTTGGGTTACTATTCCTACTTTTTATGAACTATTATATGTAAATATCTTTTATGTGATTTGATAACATGAAGATATTTTTTTACATGGTACGTGTATAGAAATTAAAGCATATGCATATACTATGTATATTACTCATATTCCATCAATCTCCCAGACCCAACACCCACCCACCTTAACTTCTCCCTAACCCCACTCTCCCACTTATTTCTCAAGTTTATATACTCTTAAACTTCTCCTCTAAAATCCCCTATTGTCTCTCCTTGAACCCCAATAAAACTTCATTATTCTCTCTCTCTTTCAAGAAGTCCATTTTTCTGCATGCTTATCAAGATGACGATGAGCAATAACCACAATGTGAGTGGGTATCACAACAACAACAGCAACAACATCGGCGATCGAGATACGACGTTGACAAAGGTGTTTGTGGGAGGGCTGGCGTGGGAAACTCCAAAGGAAGCCATGAAAGAGCACTTTGACAAATATGGTGAGATCTTGGAAGCTGTCATCATCTCCGACAAGCTCACCGGCAGATCCAAGGGCTATGGCTTTGTATGTTAATTCTACTTCCTTCTCTTTACATACAGACCTATACATTCAAAAATACTACAGTATACCAAACTTCACTTTATCAGCTTTTATATATATAGAAAGAATAATAATCCGAAAAGTGACCAATTCTCTAGCACAACACATTTAGGCCGAGATTGGAGGTTCGAATAGCTAGCTAGTTTTTCCATTTAGGTGATTTTATTGATAATTGGGTTGTGTCTTTCAAAAAATTCATCTATCTTGAATCTTAACTCTTAGGTGCAAAAAATGTATACAATCCAAGCACTCTTTTTCGTAAAAAAGAAAAAACTATTCGTACTCACATCAAAACTACATTAATTTGTTATACTACTATTTAACTGATGAATTAATCATGATTATATATTTATTGAATTGACATAAACAAAAGTTTTTTCACATTTCCGCTATTGTATATTCATCGGAATCATGGGTGTTCAATGCGTGCATGTGGAAATATTTCTGTTTAAGTTTTTCCTGAGTGGAATTTAGGCATTGAAGGTGGTACTTATATGTAAACTGAATCAATTTGTTCCCTGTTTTGGATAAATAAATAGGTGACATTTAAGGAGGCAGAATCAGCGAAAAAGGCATGTGAGGATGCAACCCCAATCATCAATGGCCGCCGAGCCAACTGTAATCTGGCATCCCTCGGCGCACGTCGTTCCAGGCCCCCTCCTTCTATCACTCCTCCTCCTCCTCCTCAACAAGGTATCTTAATAATCTTCTTGACGTGGTTATTATTATTATTCTTTTAAAACAAAGATAATAGTAGTAGTTCTCCCGTCGCATTAAAATCTTGGATCCTCTATTTTGACCCAAACACATGTATAAAACCACGATAATTTATTAAGTATAGCACACGTTAAATGCTAAACTTCAAGTATAGAAATATTTTCTGAAGGAATTCCCTATAATTTAATCACTTATGATATTCGAGGAGGACATGAACTAGTAGTAGTATATATCTAATTTATTTTTCCTGAAAAATATTGAAGGACCCAACGTGGTAGGACCAAGGGCCAATCCAGTATCACCTGCAGGTCACGTGCAATGGTACTATCCTGCTGCTTCGGCACCCCAAGCTGCTGCAGCTCCAGCTTCACCATATCACCATCATCAACCTCTTCCTTTCTATGGGTATTATATCTTAACCTGATTCAACCCTAACTTTATTCGCACACCCCTAACATAAAGATTGTTGTTATTATGCAGTTATTCTCCAGCTTATATTGCCACAGACATGAATTACAATCATGTAAGTAAAAAAACAAATTTAATTAAGGCAAATTTGGTTTTCTTTTTTTGGGAATATATTGAATTGAAGGCTTAATAAAAGGGTTGTGATGTGGTGGACAGAAGCTAAGCTACACAGGTGGGGCCTACATGAATGGGCATTTCTCTCAAGTGTATCCATTGATGGGTGGCAACACATTGATGCCAATGTACCCATATTATCACTTTCACCATCATCAGTCACAGACAATGGGCCTTCCGGCCCATATGTACTCTCCAACAGCTGCTGTTCCGGCCCTTATCTCAAAGCCCACTTCTCTTCCTCCTACTGCAGGTACCTACTTAGTATTACATAGTAGTATTTTTTAGTCAAATTTTATTTAACCAAGAATAAGTGGGCCCATCATACACGTGGTCAAAGGAGAATATATTCAACATCTAATCTATTACAGAGTGGCATACATCTTTGTAAAGATTCACCATTCCCATAGGTCAACAAGGTAAACAAGTAGTAATAACTTGCTTAAGAAAGTAAAAATCTTCTTAAGATAATGTAATTTGTGTGGTTATTTCTTGTTTGGATAAACTATTGGTAAAGAAAATTTAAGATAATGGTTAAAATGTAATGAAAATTCACTACTTAGTAAGATATAAAATTAAGTTTGAAATATTAGTGTAACATTAGTTTATAGTACTAGTATTTTTACTTGTTAGAGGAGAAGAAAATTTCATTTAAGAAGTTAAGTTGTTACAGATGGATAAAAAAAGAAGTCCTTTTCATTGGAATTCAAGAATAGCTTTCTCACTCCTATACACACAGGAATAAATTTCTAACTCATACATTACATAATTTCCTGTCTTTAAGTTCTCTCATATTAGAGCAATTTTATTTATTAAGATCTAAAAACATATACTTTAGTAAATAGTACGAAATGTGAAAATATACAATTACTTTTACTATGTGATGATTATAAAGAATCATGGAAGTCCTCAGGTCACAACTCACATGGTTTACAGTCATTTGGAACATGACCACGTGGGAATGCTCTAGGTGATCTAAAATGAGATTCTATTCATTTTTTAATAAAATTGTTTTTATTGATTTCTTAGTATATGAATAAATAAATATCAAGTGGTAGTTAAAATAAGATTGAAAACTGATATTACAAAAATACAGTTTGCTTGGCTGTGGAATAGGTACAATTGGAGCAGGTGGAGTTCTGATCAAAAGGGTGATGTCAAAGAGCAATTAGATTGGAGAAAGGTGGTGGCTGGATCAAATAACAAAGAGGATTATTATAGGCTGCTCAGAACAATACTATTATTAGAGATCTGCAGTAGCTCTTCTAATTTCCAATTTCATTTATTTTTTTACTTTTCTTCTTTGTAATTTTTTCTAAGCAAGAAAAAAGAAGTTATTATTGTCAATCAGGCAGCTAATTAGATGTATTCATTTCATGTCTATCCCAATGGCTAACCTATTGAGCTCAGCTTGAGCTTCTAAGCATAAATATTCAACTATTGTATAACCTAAAGTCATAAGTTTCTTTCATGGCGCAATTAATCTCTACCTGCTAACAGGGCGGCTCATAATTTTATTTAAAATTTATTTTTTTAGTTTTTTGAGATGCAAAATTATTAATAATTTGTTTGTAATCGATTTCTTCTAATAATTCTTTTTCAATTGATAATATAGCTAATCCATTTAATCTATCTTGAGACATTGTTGATCTTAAGTAAGATTTTATTAATTTTAATTTTGAAAAACTTCTTTCCGCTGAGGCAACTATTACAGGAATTGTTAACATTATTCTATAAGCAATATAAGCATTTGAAAAAGAATCAAGTCTTTTTATATGATTAAGTATATCGATTAGATTATCATCTTCTACGTGTATTATTTTCCTTAAAACTTTTAATTCATAAAATAAGTCTAAACCATCAATATCAGAGTTACTATTATGTTTCAAAGAACATTCAAGGTTAAGACAATTTTTATTTAAGTTCTCATCATCTAGAGATCTCAATGTTTTGCCACTAAATAGGAAACCAAAAATATTTTCATACGCTTCAAATTGCTCAAATCTACTTTGAAGTGAAAAAATAGCTTGGTCTACTATGTATAAAAAGTAATCAACTCTAAAAGATTCTTCAAGAGATTTTGTAATTTCATTATCAACATTCTCATCAAATTGTTTCTTTCTATATATTACACGTTTATTACGAAATTCAGGTTCTATATTCCACTCACATGCAATTTCCTTAGCAGAAATCATGGAAGTTGCATATCCTTCTTCTCTATATTTTTTGAAAAAATAAATCAAACCCCTAAGTTGATCTATGGCAATGTCAATATGCATATCTTTTGATTGTAAATGTTTGCTAACTGAATTAACTGCAAATAGTATATCATACCAAATAGTCATACCCAGTAAAAACTCAAAATTTTCAAACTCATAAGTTGCTAAACAACTAGCTTCGCTTTTAGTTTTTGGATCCTCACTAACTTCTACTAATTTCAATAAAGCATTTCTTATTTGTGGAGTTTGAAATCGTATTGCTTTAATACTTTCAATTCGACTTTTCCAACGCGTTTGTGATAATGATTTAAGAGTTAGGCTAGGTACATTATCTTTTAAAATTTGCCATCGCTTAGTAGAAGAAGAAAATAGTGAATATATGCATTGTACTACTCCAAAAAATAATATAGCTTTGGTACAAGAATTAGCCATATCACAAAGTACCAAATTTAGATTATGACAACCACATGATGTATAAAATGATCTAGAATTTATGTCGAGCAGTCTTTTTTGCACTCCTTGGTGTTTTCCCTTCATATTGGATCCATTATCATATCGTTGTCCTCTTAAATTATCAATATCAAGTCCAATACTTTTTATCTCATCTACAATAACTTCAAAAAGACCTTTTCCACTTGTATCATCAACTTTTAAAAGCTCTAAAAAATATTCAGTAATTCTTACTGGAGTTACAGTGATGTCGATACTCCGTAATATAAAAGACATTTGTTCTTGATGACTTGCATCTGGAGTGCAATCAAGTATGATTGAAAAGTACTTTGTTTCTATAATTTTGTCAATAATTTTATTCTTAATTTCACTAGCTAATAAATTTATCAATTCATTTTGTATATTATGTCCAAGGTAATGATTATGAATTTCATCATGCTTAATTCGGCGAACATGTTCCTGCATGATTGGATCAAATTCTGCAATCATTTCAATTAGACTCAAAAAAATTCCGTTACTTTCTTGATAGATCTTTTTATTTTTTCCCCTAAATGCCAAATTATTTTTTCCAAGAGTTTTTATCACAACAATAATTCTTGATAATACATTTTTTCAGTGCTCTCTGTCTCTATTGATTTGTTCTTGAACATCTTTATCAATTATTTTACTTTTGTGCAATCTCATTTCTAAATCAATCCATGCACCAATATTAATAATATGCTCTTTTGATGTTTCATGAGCTTAGCACTTATATTTCTCCATTCACTACTACCATCACTAGCTAATTTACTGCTACAAAAGCTAAAAGTCGTATTAAACAACTTACCACAAAAATAAAATACCTTATCCATATCTTTAGAGTAAACTAACCATCTTCTTTCATGTCTTTCTCCATTAGCCAATTTTTGAATATAATTTGTAGTAGAAAAATATCTAAAGAATTTATCCTTTGGAAAATCTATGTTAGTAATTTTAATTGGCCCCTTTTCTACTAATAGATCTCTCAACTTTGTATCTATACTAGTCCATTGACTAGGATCATATATGTTCCTCAGAGTATAATTATCCAACTTATTTAGAACTTCTTATTTTTCTTGAGGATATATGTTAGGTTTCTCGATAACTTCACCTCCTTCCTCTTCTTCTTGAATTTTATTATTGTCTATCTCAATTATATTAGTGATTTGTTCATCTATCATAAAATCTTTCACATTTTCTGATTTAGAATTTTTACTCTTCGCTACAAATTTATCAAGTACTCCTTTTTGGGATTGTACTAGAGTTTCAATCATTTTTCTTTTTTGACGTTTTGAACATCCGAATTCATATTTTCTAGTTGATACATTAAAACTCTAATAAATAACTAAAAAGACAATATATACTTACAAAGAAAATATATCTAAAAAAAAATTAAAAAGTAGATGCAAATAATAAAATATAGAACGATCAAACCTGATTCAACAAGACAACAAATAGATAATTTGATTAGCTTTTGCTACTTCAAAATTCTTGATGTAAGGCCAAATACTTGAGAGCAAATCAAACAGATGGTACTTGTGTAGTTGTGTTTTGGTATTTTATTTTGAGGTAGTAACCGAATGAGATTGGAATTTTGGAATATAGAGTCTAGAGAAGCTTTGCAGAGAGAAAGATAAAAAAGATAAAGAATATGGGCTCATTTATAATAATAATGGTAGACAAATGACACAACATAGTGGGATGTTCAGTTGTTCACGCGTGGGGCTTGAATTCCCAAAATAGATTCCATTTCCGATTGTTCTCCAACGTCCTTTCCTTGAAACTTAGCATTTTTTTTTCTTTTCAAATACTTAATATTATTAAAATGAATGGACAAATACATTAAAAATCAGAAAATTTTGGGGCCCCTACAAATAAGGGGCCCTAGGCAACTGCTTTACTTGCTTGGCCATTAGGCCGG